TGTTTTGCAAGCAAGTACAATGCTTGAGCAGAGCCTATTTGTTATGAGAAATCAAGCTTATATGCATTAACGTAAGTATGTATAATATATTACATTATATGCTCACATAACTACTAAATGACATATTATCCTCAAGATTAAGACACACCACACAATGGCCCTTCTGGGTCTTCTTTTCCTTGTGTCTAATTTTGTGGCAAGATATGTACCTCAGCAAGAACCAGTGGGCAAACAAACAGGTCTGTTGAACCAAGTAGTAGCTAAGGAACTTGTAAATGATTATGATTACTGAAATTATTTGGCAACATCACATTACATTAAGGTGGTAGGCTACGTCAAAAAGTCAATTTTTTTTTTTGCGAGATCGATTTTTTTTTGTGTTTTTGGTTTTTTGCACGCCCCGGACATTCAAAACGGTAGCAACAAAAATTATCTTCCTATCATCATTAGTTTGCGAAGTCACAATTAGATGTTTATACACCATGCTCATATACCGAAACCACAATGTGTTCGTTACGAAGTGTTTTTCGTTACAGTAGACTCTCAGTAAACGGAAATCTGTTAAATGAAAGTAACTGCTTAAATGGAACCAGTGCCTCTGCAACGCTTGGTTTTTGGGCTTGTATTCTGCAGTTATGTTCACCTCTCAGTAAAAGGAACTCCTGTTAAATGAAACATATTGTCATGGTCCCATTACGTTCCGTTTACTGAGATCTACTGTATAATAATAATATTCAAAATACTTCATGACTTTTATTTGGACTGTTACATAAGAGGATGTCATTATATAAACTTTGTGCTTCTATTGTTTTCAAATCGTTAAAAACAGCCACAGGGAGGATGGTAAAGTGCTCATGGAAGGTTTGTTGTTTACCCTTGGTCGGCATACGTCAGGCATCGTTCTACATGTCTTCCTCGTGTCAACGCTGCAACGTGTGTGTTCTTCGGCCACCTGGATTGAATATATATTCAGACCAGCATGGCTAAGCGCAGAACTCAGAAGACAAGGAAGCGGAAGTTTGGTGGAAATCGCTACACACCCTGACGAAGCTGCCTCCCGACATGGATGCGGGGTGTTTCGGCGAACGCAAGAAAGCTTTCGGGCATTACAAAACGTACGAGGCTCCGCCGCAAAATTCTTCGCTCCAAAAGAACAGGCTTTTGGACATTGACATTCTTTCCTCGGTGTTTTTATCACTAGTGACATGCCCTGGATGCATGAACCCAACGCTGGAAGCTCGGAGGAACGCTCTCAACCTAGGGATATGCTCAACCTGTGCAGTCGTGTGTACTGACTATAGGTTTGAGCGGCCATTGATACGTCTAGAAAGGCGGGACACGTAACGAAAATAATGTTCATCTCGTTTACGCGAGGCGCCAGTTAGGAAAGGGCATGCAGGTGTGGAATTCTTTGCCAAAGGTCATGAACATGCCTGCTCCATGTCACTCCGCCTACGACAAATTATTGTCTCGACTTACTGCAGCTGCAGGAAAAGTGGCGTCGAAATGTAGGGCCGATGCTGCTGGTGGACTTAGTCGTATTGTGGGAAGTGCCGAGTGTGGTGTTTCAGGTGACAGCACATGGCAGAAGCGTGGTCATTCATCTTTGAATGCATGTGAGTCTGTGATTTTTATTGACACAAGAAAAGTCATAGATGTTGAGGCCCTTTTCAGATCGTGTAAATCTTGTAAAACTAAACAAAAGTTGAGGCCACAAAGTGCTTTTATCAGGAATGAAAGGCAGACCACACTTCCTGTCAAGCAAACCCATGAAGGAAGTGCTGGCAGTAAGGAGACGGTTGGTCTGTACCGAATATTTGAGAGGTCACAGCCAAAAGAGGCTTGAATTACCTGAAATTCTACGGTGATGGTGTTTCCAAGAGCTATGCCTCTGTGGAAGACATGTATAGAAAAGACAGTGTCTAGAAACTGGAATGCGTTGGGCATGTCCAGAAAAGTTTGGCTGCCGCCTCGGAGAACTCAAGAAAGCAGTGCGTGGTCTCGGAAGTAAGGGAAAGGTCAATGATTGTCCTCATTGACCGCCTTCAAAACTACTAAGGCATTGCCATAACGACTAGTGCGGGCAACTTTTCTGCAATGAATCAGGCTACCCTTGCCAGTCTTTTTCATTGCAGCTCTACCGACAAGCATCCGAGACATGGTCTGTGCCCACTTGGACCGAACAGCTGGTGTGGGTACAGAAGGGTTTGAAGCACTCGGCCAAGGAGAGTATGTGCACAAAGGACGACTTTCGAAATGACGTGCTAACAAAGTTAAAATTGTGTACAGCTATTTGCGTTCAGATGAACTTCTGATGAAATCTTTGCATGGAAAGACACATAATGCAAATGAGTTTTAATGGTCAGATATAGCAGTGGGCTCCCAAAAAGGTCTACGTAAGCTTGCCTACAGTAATGTTTGTCTTGCATGATGCTGTGGCAAACTTCAATAATGGCAGTGTAAGCACTCTAGACATCCTGAGCCAAGCTGGCATAGAACTAGGGTACTACACGACGAAAGTTTGTGTTGCCAGAGATCACAAGCGCATGCAGAATGCCAAACGCAAGTCAGCTGATGGGACGAAACAGGCCAGAAAGAAAGAAGAGCAATCACACGAGGAAAAGGAGACCATGATGCTATTCAAGAAGGACCCACCTAGGAATCAGGGGCATTTTAGGACTTTGTGCGAAATTTCTGACACCTTGAGCCCGCTCTAAAATCTTTGTTTACCTTTTCCTCAAAATAAGAATTTGCTGCAAATCATGCAATGCCAACTTTCATAACTTTTTTCTCAGTGTATACTTCGAACGAAAATTTAGTACAATGTTTCACCACTTATATATCTGTGTAGCGAACTAGGATAAAAGAAATTAATTGATTAGTTTGAATTCACAGCTAATTTTGCAAACAAGTTCAGTATAAATTGGCACTTTTTCTGAGTCTTTTGGAGTTTTTTAACATAATTTCCTTGATATTTACTGTATATTATTTATCCTAGTTCACTGCATAGCTCCAACCATTGATTACATAATGCCAAAGCTTTACTGAATTCAGGCACCCGTTAGTCACTTATCATGGCTGATGTAACTATCACTTTTCATTTAATATTTGACAAAAATGGCCTCCTAAAAAACAAATAAGCAATATTTTGCACTCTAAATGACTAGGGAAGATAACTGAGGCACGCTTGTTCCAAAAAAGCAGTTATTTATTCCTGGCTCCTCCGGTTAAAAAAAGTTTTTTTTTTTTGGGGGGGGGGGGGGGGTGGGTGGCCTACCACCTCAATGAAATATGCTACCACATGGTCCAGTGTACTATCGTGCTCAGTATGAGCTACACCCATTTATTGATTGATTGATTGATTTGTGGGGTTTAACGTCCCAAAACCACCATATGGTTATGAGAGACGCCGTAGTGGAGGGCTCCGGAAATTTCGACCACCTGGGCTTCTTAACGTGCGCCCAGATCTGAGCAAACGGGCCTACAACATTTCCGCCTCCATCGGAAATGCAGACGCCGCAGCCGGGATTCGATCCCGCGACCTGCAGGTCAGCAGACGAGTACCTTAGCCACTAGACCACCGCGGCGGGGCAGTATGAGCTACACCGCGGGAGCATATGGTCAATGGCAATGTAAGGTTGTATAGTTGCACCAATCATGACATTTTTTTTTGTTATCAAGAGAGGACTCGGCCGTACCTGTGAGTGCACTTCGCCCTAACTTCCTTTCATGCTCGTGCTAGTTTTGCGCTGTGGTTATATAAGCTTCGAAAATGATGCCTTGGAGGGTGACAGCAAGTTAGTGGGGGCGATGCACACCCGCAAGAATAGCCAGACTCTCTCCCAATAACTTGAAAATATACTATGATCGGCGCCACTGTACAACATTGCAGTACGCTCAGCCATGCGCTCACGTGGTGTAGTTCATACTTATAGTACGTACAATGTTGTGTTTACTGAAAGAAAAGAATTAAGTGCGACAGTTTTTAAGAGATGCAAACATAATTAAACTGATCAAATAATCAATTGCATTAAATTGCTAAACAGCCAAAATATCTAAATGCAACAATGGAGTGAAAGCTACATGCCCAATGCACCTGCTTCTGAACTGTTGGTCCGGCATAACAACTGCTCCTATTCAGCACAACTATATTATGGAATATTTATTACATCTGCCATTCTCCAATGAGTGTTATTCCTTATAGACATTCAAAAGAGACACATCGGGAACTTCAACTTCTGGATTCTTGAGCAGAAGATGAATCAAATGACCGACACCATTCTATTTGTATTTAAAATCTGAAGTGTTGGCCAAACATTATAAAAAAGTTTAATTGTGAGTTTCAATGTCCAAAAACTGTACATAAGGCAAAGGTGAACACCATTGTGTAGTGTTCCGGATTATTTTTATTTATTGGCAGTTCTTTCAGATGCACTGAAAACATTGTACACTAATATTTTAGCATTTATCTCTACTCAACTGATGTCACTGTAGTCAGGATTCAAATCCACACAACCTCCAATAACTGCCGATGAGGTTATGAGTTGCATTAAACTCAGGATCACAAAAATCACTGAAGTCTGTTGATTTTTGTTTTCTACTTTCAAAAGACCTTGTAGATCAATAGCAAATACAAGAATTGGTGTAATATTTATATATTACAATAATAGTTCAACAGTCTAAATGGGTTCCCTCATATAAAAAGGCTGAATCGAGCAAACATTGCACACAAACTGAACAAATACAATTCAGTTATTGAGTAGTATAGATATTTCAAGTAAAGAAATATTTTCATGAGATGTGGCACATGAACTCATATATTTCTAGTAAAAGTAATAAACTGACAATTATAGCACCCTTACTATCCATGTCTTTGACAGATAAGAAACCACATGCAACACCCAGTTGCAAAATTCTTTTCAAGAGAACTCTGACACTGGTAGTCAACCAAGACAGTGTAATTGTATAGAATATTAATTAAAACCAATCCTTACTTGTCTCTTCCAGGTCGAATCCCCACTTTATGCAGCCCATACGATGGTTGATGATCAGAGGTTTGCATTATTAGAATTGAGTCATAGAGAATACACTCTATATGGCCTTTTCTTTTGCTTCTATAAAGTATTCGATCCTAAATGAAAATAGGTTTCAAGTGAAAAATGAGCCTGACAATACCAATGCAATGAGTTGAAAAGTGCAAACAGAGGCTATTACCGTGTACGATGGCACTCTATGCTTCACACCATCAAACTGACTTGAGCCAACTTCGAATTGGTAGGTCAGTCCAAATTTTCTCTTTCCTTCTTAAAAGCCAAAGATGCCTGACCTGATGAGCAGAGAAGAGAGAGATGCTGCATACAACACTGGTGAATGGAAAACATACACAGGAAACTACACAGTTCTCTTCTAATTCAAACAAATTTTTAGAACTTGGCAAGAAAAGGTGGTGCTCTTTTACGAGAGATTCTTAACACCGCAAATCACTGTGCAGATAGCAAACCAAATACAGCCTCATCATGTTATCTTTCATATTAGGCACACGGTACAATTGCAAAACTAAAGCTCAGCAGTTGTGTAGTAGTTTCTGTTTAGCAAAAATCAAAAGGCTAGCACCACCTCCTAGATATCTGTTTCCAAGATCTTTGATAAAGAATGAATGCATCTGAATTTCAGTTAAGATCACTCCAGAAGGGTTGAGAGGCGGTGTAATTGGTATAGGTTCGTACTGAAATATTGGGAGCACAAACCAACAGGATGCAAAGGAGGAGACAAACAAGCGTATAAAACAGATGACTTGTTTGTTTGCACCTCTGTGTCCCATTAGTTTGCCCTGCTGATTTCAGTATGAAAGGTCATTCCAAGCTGTTATAGGAAAGCTTTTAACAGACTTGTCTGGAATACCAGTGCATTTTAATAGCATATCTGAAAACATTGCTAACCTCCATTTCGGCTGAGCAGAAAAGACCGTACTACCACTCTGCTTTAATTTTGCTGTTGTAAATTTTGCGATAAAATAAATTATTCAAATTGGGGAAAACTTTTCATTAGCTACTTTGGTGTTGTGGCTTATGAAGGCAACTTTTTTTTAAGAAGCTTCAGCTTTAAAGGACACTACTGCAAGTTTTCACTATACCGTGGGGAAAGCAATGTCTAGGGAATGTTTAAACCAAATCATTTTCTAACAGGTTCGTTATTAGAAAACTTGAAAGCAATTTAACTGCTTTGTTACTATTTTACCAGAAGGTGAGCTTCACCACTAATGCAATTACCCTCCCTGCCTCAGCCATTCTTTGCAAGCAGAGTTTCTTCACCCATGTGGAACGTGGTGTAGGGGCCACACCATGTTCACATGACTAGCTCCACCCTCCTCTCACCTTCTCTACCTATTTTGCTTCATGGCACATATCTAGAGACAGTGTATTAGATGATTAATCAATGTCACATGCCATAGAAAGTGATACTACAAGCAGTGTGTGTTAAGCATTTGTGTGCATGTCTTTGACTCGTGCTCCGTGTACAGCTTCTATGAGAGAAAAAGCCCACTACGTTGTTTCAAGTTTTGGCCGCTTTCACACCATGTTACAGTCGGTTTTATGCTTTGCAAGCCCTATTGCCCCCCTCCCCCCCCACAATCTACACATCACTTTGTCTCATTTTAAATGCACAAACCTAATCAAAGGGCATTCTTTAAAAATTTCAAAAAAAAAAGGATGGGGGTATACAGAAGATGCGATTATACAAACCATGCAGCACAGCACTTCTCGGCCGATCAAATTTCAGGAGGTTCTCATATGCAAGTTGTTTATTTTCATGGTCATCCTTCAGTAAACCGACGACCGAACGATCATTCATGAGTCGAAAATTCAGATCGCCACACCAAAATACATGGTCAAATCTTGCAGTCACATCTGCAATGAATCAAATGCACACTCACAAACCTTCTAAGAATAAAAAAACACCTGGCCTGTGCAAAACGCACAGCACAGTCACAGCAAAAGCTGGAAGAGTGGCCTTTCTAGAGCCTTTTCTGAACACTCTTGTAGACACTACTACAGGTACACTTGCATGATACCCACTACACCAAAATCACCATAACATTTGTGAAGTAGAGAAGCGTGCACTATTTCATTAGTATTTGTCTTTCTTCAGGGGAGCATGGTGCTCACTATGCACCTGTAAGACATTATGTGCAATTTGCTATATTGGCATTATGTGCATTATTTGCTGATGCTGTAGCTAACGACGACAAACAATTATGACTCAGCCTTTTGTAGTGGCCTGGAACCATTCAATAGACCCAATTGTTAAGCGATTCGCATTATGTGATGCTAGGTTGCTTAGTTACTCTTCTGAAATGCTCTTATAACACGATTCCTGAACTGACAAGAAGCGTGCATAAGGGAAGTCGGCAGCACAATCTCGAGCACAGGAGTGGCTCTGTGGTAAAGCACTGGGCTGCCACAGACAAGGCCTGGAGCCCCGTTTACACGAGAGATATTTTCTCATTTCATTTTTTTTTTCATACTTCATGCGATGTTGGTTGCGGACACTGTCGGCGGACAAGTACGGCGCTGGAGACAGTCTTTTTTGTGATATCATAGCAGCTTTCACTGTAAAAATAGTAACTTACTAAGAAATTAAAGATAGGAAAATGTGAGCAAATCAGGGATAGTAACAGCACGTTTTTACAAAAAGACCTCATATTGATGTCCAGTTTCCATTATTATTTTTGCCCTTATTGTGCTGTAAGAGCATGCAAACAGTAAACAAAGCAAAAAATAGCCGAGGTTGTTCATTCTAAAAGACAGGGTGTCCAATTATAGACACACAAAAGAAGTCATGACACCACAAGAGGGCCTGGGGTGTCTTTTAGAATGAATATTCACCAATTAGCTCTGCTCTTTGTTATCTCAGCTGACATTGGTTGGTCAATACTGGCTTGATATTTGTTTATCAAGCATGTTATGGACACGAAAGCAGTAATTAAGAAAAGCGATAAGGATAACGCTGGTCTGCGAATATGCGATATGCAGTTGTTTCCTTTTGTAGAAAAACTTCTACATCTACAACTATGAAAAAGAAGCTCCAACATTGTAAAACCAGAATTACCTACCGAGCATTCATACTTGTGTGATTTCTTTATTACCCATAGTATCGAAAATGGTGACTAAAAGCTGTTGCAAAGGGCAAGTACCGCATCAAGAAATAATTGGCATGTTTATGCTCACATGTTGAATCTTATTACAGGATTTTTACAACAAAAGCCACAGGGCAAACATGAAGTGTTCAGGGTGGGTTATTGCAAGGTATAATGTCATGTTTCAGAAAAATGCCTGAGTAGAACAGCCTTTACAAGGGACCCCAATTCATTGAAGTTTGTGATGTGATGAGCTGCTTTCTTTTTCTTTTTTTTCATGCATGATGGCGATATTCAGAAATGTGAATACTGCTGCAGCCAAGCAACTGAATTGTATCTAAGCCTTCAAGTGTGTTTCAGCTAACTTGAACAAAACACTTATAAAAGCAAACAAATGTACAGTACTGCTTTTTATATTCTGGCATGAACTTTTGTGTTAAAACTATTTCAATATTTAATCAAGATTAATCACAGTAGATGGTCTCTAAACCAAAACGGAAGGAACCAGGAAAATATATATTCCATTTACCAGAAGTTCCATTTACTGAGAGATGAACAGGGGCGGACAATACAAGTACTAAATCAACAATATCAAAGGCAGTTGTTCCATTTTATCAAAGGCAGCAGTTCCATTTAGCAGATTTCCCTTTACTGAGATTCTACTGTGGTTAACATTTGGAAGACTTTTACTAGTATACGAGAAGTAAGTCTTCGGAGGAGTTGTAAAGGGTATTGCTTTGTCAAGCAGAAGTATAGCTGACTTTCTGTTCTTTCTCCTTTTATTTTCACTTATTTTAGCTTATGGGAAATGTGCAGCACCTACAAGTGGAACAACAGTCTACTGCGCCACTGCACTTCCACGTGCCACCACTTCAGTTTCAAGTGGCGTGCTACAAATAGACACCTCTTTTTCTGCTATGCCCACATTACACGCAAGTGTGTGTGTGCGAAGACAACATATATGATGAAACGGGTAGGCCTTCGTAACGTCAACAATGCAGGATTCCTTTAGTTTCTCAAACGAAAAGAAAGGACAAATTATATGGAATCAGTCATGTTTTCAATGTGATAGAAAGCACAGATGTGTGGCAGTGTATTCTGAAAGGGCAATCGGCTGGCCAGTGTAGACCACAAAGCATAGACAGTTAACATCCATGTTTGTATGGATTCTTTCTAGTCATTTTGCCTGATGGCATTTGTCTGACACCTGTTAGACAACCCCTTGCAATGGGCGCAAGTAAAACGTACGATCTCTGAACTGAACGTGTTGTATTAAGTAATGTCTGGAAGTTCCACGAAATTTTCTGCACTGTTGTGCAGCTCTATTTATAGACGTTGCTTGCACTGCACAAGTCCTTGAGTAACTGTCACACGCCAACCTTGCAAATGATCTCTTAGCTGTCACTAAATGCAATAAAATGGTGTGGTGCAGCATCGCTTGCATGCACAGTGCTGTTAAGAGCAATAGAAATACAAGGGGAATAAAATTCTGCAGTCCACGACACATTTTGCGAGACATGCGGAGATGCTTCCCTAGTGTTACTGTTTACGAATTGCGGAACAGTAGAAAAACAGCCGCATCCCACAAGAAAGAATTGCTAGATCTGTCGATGGTTTTCCACCAACAAAATGTCGACTGCTTATTTAAGATCACTTTGCTGGCTGCCACTCACTTCCATCAGCACCGTAAAAATATCAGTTAAATTGCGTGGAGTTTAAATTCACACAAAAAAGCTACAGCATGAACTTGATAAAAGTGCCCGGATGATCACTTGCTTTATGCGGCATACACTAATCCAAATTTCAGTAAATTTTTTAAGCAGAAAACTGAAAAACTTTGTTCCAGGTGCATAGTTCTTATAGTTATGGCATAGTTTACGACTAAGAAATTCATACGTGACACTGCAAAACAACTCAACATGGCTCTACTGATGGGTCAGCTGCTGCACAAAGCATACCAGTTCCTTTCATTCACTTATGCACTGCGGTGCCACAGGCTCAGTGCTTGTTTCCTAGAGCTACAAGTGAGAATAAAGCCAAAATAAGCATCCATTTCAGCTACATATTTTAATGTAAAAGTTGGGCGGGCATATATAGTATGACTGTATGGCCAGTGCAGAAAACAAAAACAGTGAAAGTAACACGCTAGCAGATGCTACAACGCTGTTTACATTTAACCGCTTAGTATGGCACAGAAAATAAATTATTGAAACAAGGCTGTTTGGTCACTCTGAGCGGAGCTTCACTTCCAGGGCCTCACTGGCTATTGCGGCTTGCCAGGGCTGGTCAGTAGTCGCCAATCCACCTTTTTCATTTTCTTGTGCTGCCTGCTGCCATTTTGGTAGCATAGCTGATGTATATCTTACTTCTTGATGCTGCCAGCTGTCTTCATTGTTTATGTATATACTATGTCGCACACAATGTGTTCAATAGTTGTGGAAAGCGAAGCAAGCGTTCAAGGTAGTCAATAAAATTTATCTGAGATAAATCTGTACATCTCTCAAGCCTGTCGTTCTGCATATAGGTGAGGAGTGGGCAGGGGAACACACATAGCCAATTTCATTCAGGTCCAATGACCTCAGGAAATTGCCAGAGTTGACCTTTAAGTCATGATGTACAGATTCACATGAGATAGACCAACCTTTGCTTTCGTACTGAAGGTTGAGTTGTGCTTGTTTTGGTAAGTCAGTCTGATGACAGATCTTTCCATAATCTTGAATACGGTCTGGAACTCTTTTTTCCTGAGCTAGAAAAAGAAGGAATAAAAGCATCAACAAAGTTGGATGCAATATAACAATACTTTAAAATATCGAAAACACAAAAATTTTTTTCTTCGTCTTTTTGGAACTGATATGCGGCTATTGGCCAGTATAAAGCATCACTTCTCTAGCACGCTATGAATTATTGATTGTGACCCATATTATTAGGACAAGTCACTAGTGGCTACTTTTAGCCTTAATGCAGCTTGCAAATAAGTGGTATTCTTGATGTGGCTGAAAAATCAGTTCCTCCTAAAAAGGTCTACTCATTGTACTTAAAGGAATGCTGCAAAACAAATATTGCATGTTTTCATTGTATGTAGGGGACGCCTAAAATAGGGCATTGTTGTTAATGCCATACCTAGTCATGCATTTCAGACAGGGACTTAAAAAAAAAAAACGTCGCTGTCTAATGCATTACATGCCACAGTTCCACATCACTATCTGTGTGCATTAACATTATGCCACATGTATAACATGACAATTGTCTATACTATATACAAGTGAGACAACTCTACCAAGTTCCTGCTTACCAAGAAACATAGACCTTGTGAGCTGAAATTTCACAATAAATGTGGTGCCCCCTGCCTTCATTGCAAGGGATGATACTAAGCAATACAAAGTCTGACTCTTATCTCAGTTGGCTGCCTAGCTATCAACTAAATGAAAAGCAGCTATCTTAAATTATTTTGCGGCATTTCCTGTGTTGTATAGCCCTCGACACTGAGAAACAGTGCTGAGAACTCCCCACTAATATGACGTGCTAAAGAAAGCCATAGTGAAATATGGCTCATTTGCCCCTTAAAAAGCAGCACTTTGGCACCACATGTTGTGGTAAAATGTCATCATTAATGCTGGTATTACATCATCAATTAATTACTATTAACCAAAAGGACTGGATCTGAGAGTTCAATCTTAATAATTTTTCAAGCAGTAAGAAGTGCAATGTACAATTAGACTAATCAAGTTCTGCTCATTCTGGATAGCATGGAGGCAGACAACATGGCATAAGCAAATGCATGTTCTGAACAAACTCAAACGTTGTGCCAAGTAGCACTTAGTGTGCAGTGGCAAGTCTGCTGAAGACGCTTATCTTGCCTTAAATTAACTTCATTGCATTTTTCTTAGATACTGTGCGGCGTCTTTTGAAAGATCTAAATGAAACAAAAGGCTTCAGCATCCGTGAATATTATAGCAGAGAAAATAGATTGAGTAGCAACATGTGACAATAAATGGACAATTGCATTTGCTGCAGATGCAAATGAGTCATACTAAAAGGGATACTGAACAAATCTTTTGCTGTGGAGATATTTAGCTCAACTAAAAGCTGGGCACTGAAAGTGGTTAACACAACCTTCCTTTCAGGCAGAAACTAAACAAAAATAATGAACTTAACCGGTTTTTCACAAACTGTCACTTCTGGTGGCCATGCCGTTAACTACATGAGGTGGTGTTTCTCATCTTCAGGAACAGGAATGCCAACCATTACTCACGTGCTAGGAAATGAAAAATATAAAGCTACTATAAGGAACTGCCTAAAAATAAAATCATGATGTTTGAACAATGCAATAAAAGCAAGTGTCGAAAAAATGTGCGAAACTGTCGATTCATAGAAAGCTTTTTTTTTGGTACCTAGTTTTCTATCATTTTGAGAACTTGAAATGGTGGTCACGTGGACAAAAATTTCTGCCACTAATAATGTTTCGGGAAAATACTGCAGAACTAATGTCTATAGTAGGTTTATCCATTATTTTTTGTAGAAACTGATTTTCGGCAAGTGCAACGGTTGGGACAGTTAGTATGGAATGATTAACTTCATTTCACAAATACTTAAATTTACATCCCACAAATATTTAGACAATGAATTTACAAATAATTGTAAAGGCTGGTGTAGCAGGATAAAAGACAAGGACAAGTGAAAGGAAGCAATAAACCATCACAATGTGGCGCTCCGGTGTTACTATCTTCTGTGTAAGGATGTCAATATACGGTATGACATCCGAAAACAAAACTGAAACTTCCTGTGCAAAATTTGTAAGCCTATTATTACAGGTACTATAAGGCTTGAAAGCACTTATTCTATCACTATGAGGTACTTAACGATGAATAGTTGAAAAAAATATATTGATGCCCCTGTAACACCTATAAATTAAATGGGAGAGAATGTATGTTGTAGTGCTTGCATAGAACTTGATGTCATAAGATTCAATATGAAAAACAACAGAAACTTCTTTTAGAGCATAAATGCAGTTTGCCTGGCCGAGGTTATTGCCTTGTGAACCGAGGAAGAGTAGAACAAGCTTAACACTCTCGCAACTGGGCAGCAATAGAACATTAGTGAGGGATCCATAGAGCCTAAGAGCTTCCACTAGCGAAAAGTCACTTTGTTTAACTTGGTCTCAACCAAGGCTGATTGGAACACTAATGATTGCGAATTAATGATTGCACATGTTGGTTGCACATGTTGGTTGCACATGTTGGTTGTGCACCACATAGGAAAATCAAGAAGGCTACAGCCAATGTTAAGAACACACATACTAGTATGTTCCATAAGTGCTTCAGCCACAAGTCTCACCAACTTCTGCAGCCTTTTGAACAGTTAATATGAGCATGCCTTAAAGCTCTAGCGATTTTTCGAAAGTACACATTGACGAATAGGCACTATGTCATGCTACACCAAACATGTTGGATGCATAAGAAGAATAGCAATACTTTGTTTTCATGCCACACATCATGCAGCACACAAACATCATGGGCATGCTTTAAATCAAACATATTGCAGTGGGCAAAGGAAGAGCAGCTTAGATACAACAGCTGCATCAATATTGCAATGTCTCAGGTTCATCGTATTCTATCAGTCACACGCAGTGTCAAGCTGGCCAACCAGCAAACTGTGGCACTGACTACAAAAGTCACAAAGTATGTACCCCGAGAACTCAAATGCATTCTGCTGCTTTTCCTCAAAATAAAGTTTCTTCTCCCTCTTCCGAATGTAGAGTATGTAATACAGAGTTGTCACAGTCAACATCTGAAACAACAGATCTATTTTTAAACGTAACTCTTATTATGAAGATGAGTCAGATGGCCTAATATCTGTGATAGACCATGGCAATCACAATTGTGGCAGAATAAACTTTGAGGGATTGCAATCATACAGTATATGATGCTTTAGGTATTGTGTACTATATATAAATATTTGACATAAAGCTTCAGGCATAATTTTGAACCTTCACATTGTTCTGATTTAAAATAAGTGTGAAACATTTTTTTAATATATTCATTCCTAGGAAAGCACTACAGCGAGTGAAACTTGCAATGCTATTTAGCTTGCAGAACATTGGACCGCTAGCTAGATTAGACTAGTCAATACTGATGGTAAAGAATCGCAAACAAAGCTATACATTAACACTATATGAGCTTTATGTCTTGGTCTCAACCGTGTTCATACATTTGTGCTTCAATAGCATGATTATTTAGCATGCCTTACACTTTAGTATCTGCTCTGAATTTAAGGAACTGATGCGGGAGCAATGGCAGAGTTTCATGTAAGGGAGAAAAAAAGAGGGGAGGGGGTAACTTGACCTTCTTTTATGTAAATATACGCCCATTTGTGCACATGCATAATATGCACACATATAATATAAATATTGCAGCAGATGGTTGAACCCGCCACCCAATCTCTCCCGTTTTGCTTATGAACTGATGCTATAAAAAATAAATAAAAATCACAGTGCTTTCATTAATGGAAACAAGGCAGGTCCTACACTTTCCGGCTCATTACTAAATACTTTAATGGTAAGATGAATGTCATTAAACTAGACATGAAAGTTTAATGACCAAGAAAAAGCTAAAAAGTAGAACACACTAGTTGAGCAAGTTTCACACACCTACCCCTCGAACAGCTACTCAGCTATGAAAAATCAGTAGTAAATAAATTGGAGATTCACAAGTGTGAGATTACGTAGGCATACACATGCATTGCATGCCTATACCTAAGTATGAGAAAAATACTGCATTCTGATGAAAAATCCTGTAATCAGAAATTCATCACACACAAATAAAGCCATGATTTTAACCTACGGAACATCTATCAGCAGCTTTGGCTCCATCACTGATACAAGAAACTCAACCAGTGCTCATTGAACCTGACAACATTTGTTATCTCTGAAAGAGGTACTACAACGTAATCACCAATACGTTTCATTAAAGGAGCTTATTGCCTCACGAATTGGCTATTGCAAAACGTTTAAAATCCATCCAATATGAGCGCTGTTAGAGTTTTGTCGCCCCCACTTTCTCTCTCTTTTTGTACCAGCGAGAGCGCTGTAAACTGTAAAACTAGGGGGATGCCAAAAATATGCATCTATTCTTCACTGTGCGTCATCAAATAAGCAATTTCTTTTTTTTTTCTTGAAACGCATAGCTTACTTTCAGTGTGATCTCATGAGATCGGGCATGTGGTGGCATCTTGAAGTGGCCATGGTAACTATGCAGCTCACGGTGCTGAAATCAGCCAATGACTGTGAGCTTTGGGTTTATGGCACAGTCATTTGTGTTTATGGCATTATTCGTTTAGAGAAGAGGAAATGGTGTCTAGCTGACTGATAAATGTTTGTTATTTTCAGGCCGCGTCCGGCACTATAAAATTTGGCTCATGTGTTCAGGAACCTTGAAGACCAATCAGTATAGTTTTCTGACCATGCTAAAAAGTGTTTCAGGGCCCTTATAAAATGGCCCTGTGACACAATGTGAGCAAGCCTTTTTAATCCAATCATCTGATGCTCTGGAATGTGCCGATATCATTGCGTGAGTGGTAACGCCAAAATTGAAGCCGTGAAATGTTAATTCACGGGACAAACTACCTTGATTTCGGACTACGGCGACACACATCAGCTATTTTTGTTATGGGAAGTGACGTCATGTCATGCGACGTGACAACAAAGGCCATTAGTTTTTATTGGCTTGGGGCGATAAGTAGCGTGGAATA